ATCCATGGCGGTGACCGTCTTCCTCTTGGCGTGCTCGGTGTAGGTGACGGCGTCACGGATGACGTTCTCCAGGAAGACCTTGAGCACCCCGCGGGTCTCCTCGTAGATGAGACCGGAGATACGCTTCACACCGCCGCGGCGAGCCAGACGGCGGATGGCGGGTTTGGTGATTCCCTGGATGTTATCACGGAGAACTTTACGGTGTCGCTTAGCGCCTCCTTTACCGAGTCCTTTGCCTCCCTTGCCGCGACCACTCATCTTGTCCGAATCTAGTTTGTTCCGACTGATGATATTCGGCAACAAAGTATCAGTACATATATGCTTTCTGCGGACGTAGTTGAGCACCGCTGGGTGGAGACCCGTTTTTTTCCCCCTAACAAAACCCTCCGCCTTCACAATAGAAGCAGGAAATCTCCATTCTACTGTGAATAGATGAGTCATCTATCAGCCCCAATCGATCACCCCACACCAAAAGAGAAATAAACAGACTCCAAAGCACCATCAAATCACAACTCACCCTCCACAAACAAAAAACCTGGAAATCATTCTACCACAAACTGGACCATGACACAAACCCCCGGACCTTCTGGCAGAAAATCAAGAGCATCAATGGAGATCCACAAAGCAACACCACCCCCCACTCAAATCATCTGGAACAATCATCACTGACAAAGACAAAGCCAAACTCTTCCGCAACCACCTTGAAAATATTCACTCATGCCCAAACGACCCCACGTCGACAGCACATGGAAAGATCTGGTAGACAGGCAATAAGCCCGTTAATTAAGTCTCTTAATTCTGATCCGCTAATAGCTGGCAAATATGTTAACAACAATCTTAATGTTAAAGCCATGACATATGCGGATGACGTCACGGTCATAATTAAACAGTTGTAAATGGATGTATTATGTAACCATCTGAGTTTGTACGAATTGGCCTCTGGTGCCAAGTTAAATCATATGAAGACTGAGGGAGTTTGGATCTGAAAGAAAAAAACCTGATTTAAATATTCAAATAAAACACTTGGTAAAACGTTTGTAACAATAACTGCAGTGAACATAACTGGAATGATAAACTGACTATAGTAGAAGAAGAAGTCAAACAGTGGCAAAATAAAAACACTAATTATAAATCAAGAATCAACATTATTAAAACGCATATCCTATCCAAACTCCTATTTTTAGCAAACATCTTTCCTCCTCCCCCACCATTCTTAGAAAACTAAACAGTGTGTAAACTTGGTCTGGGGCACTACTAGAGAGCTCACAAAACGTGAATGTATTCAGTATTCAGCTAATAATACAACCAAACAATGTTCCATGATTTATTGTGACAAAGATGAAACGCAGCAACATGTCTTAATGGACTGTTACGGGGGCCAGGCTGTTTGGTCTGTCTTGCAGGGCCATGGCCTAGTTTTTAATCTGAACTATAATTGTGTCATGTACGGTCTCCTGGAAGACACGATGCCTCCAAAGAAAAAAGAACTGTTTCAATTGATCATCAGCATTGTAGGTTTTAAACTGTGGAAGACCAGATGTGTCATGATCACTAACCAGACTGTTATTGACTGTGACATGGTCGTCAAGCAAGTTCTGACAGACCTCAGAAGGAGGAGAACTTTGGACGGGGCTCAGAGCCTCCCCTGGAACCTGCTTGATTTAGAACCTCCAGACTGAACTGAACCCTTTGCTTCTTGTAAAATATGCACTTTGGCACTGGTAGCACTTTATTTTTAGATATACACTATATTGTATTGTGATATATGTTTGATTTGTACCTGTGAATCTCTTCAGTAAAAATGAAAAGTAGACAGGAAAATCACAAAACATGACACATCACTGAGAAATGCAGCTGACCCCACCACAGAGCACCACCCCCTCACCAAACCCATCACCACCCAAGAACTTCAACTACACCTGGGGAAAAAAAGAAGAAGAACAAAGCACCGGGAGAAGACACTGTGGACACCGTATTAATAAAACAAGCACTGATCACCTACCTTCAACACCTTGGACACCTCTTCACCACCTGTCTCACCACCGGACACTTCCCTTCATCCTAGAAAACTGCACTTGTCACCATGATCCATAAACCAGGAAAAGACCCCCACAATGTCACCAGCTACCGCCCCATAAGTCTTGCATCACGACTCAACCACATCGAATCAATGGGCCTCATAGAAATACACCAAGCTGGATTCAGAAAAGGAAGAGCCACCACAGACAACATGCTCCGTTTATCAGAAGACATCCAGAGAAATGTCAACAAAACACAAATAACCCTGGCAATATTCTTCGACATTGAAAAAGCATTTGATAAAGTATGGCATAATGGACTCAAATTCAGACTTCTGGACTCAAACCTCAAACTCCCACAACCCACCCAGTCCATCACCTCCAACTTCCTCAGTAACGATAAATCAGAGGAGAAACAGGTAACAGCATTGGGACCAGATTACATCAGCACCTGTTCAGCATCAGGAAGGTGAATCTGAGACCCCTTTTGGTTCAACATTTCCAAATACATCCCATTCCACACCTTATCATCTCTGGTGTGGAAAGCAAACCCAACTGGACTCCTGGTCAAAGGAGGAGAGCGGAGGGAACCTGGATCAGGAAACTCAATAGCAGACAACCTTATGGTCTTAACGAACGCCTCCTCACAAACAACTAAGAGTTCTCTTTCACAGCCCAGTTCCAGATACAATATACAGTACGGTGCATTCAATACACAATTGTCAACAAAGATTAAATACATGAAAAGCTCATCTCATCTGCTTTTTTCTCGGTTGTATACAAGGGTCAATACACACTGGTTCATATTGCATACTCTGGTGGGTGTGATTCATCATGGCATCCTGTATATACATCCTGAGCTGCACCTCTGTTCATTTGGTTTATACCTGAAAGACAACACTCCAAAATACCAAATGACAACTTAAATCAATTCTCTTAAATACAAATGTCTTTTTTGTGATGTTTTATGTATTTTGACTTTGGTTTGCATGTCAAAGTTGCCTCCACCCTCTCATCACCTTTCACCCCCCAAGCAGGAGTTCCCCAGGGTGCAGTTGTAAGTCCCCTCCGCCTGCACTACAATGTGAACTTCAGTTATTTTCCACCTGCAAAGTCGAGTCTTTCTGGCATAATTCTCTAGATAAGTGAGATTGCGCTCTAAAGATGAACAGCAGGTATCAGCAGAAGACACATAGTTATAGATCAACACATGACAGACTCACTAAAGTGGAAGAGCAGCTCAATGGGAAGTATGAAAATATTAATTAGGGCCATAATATGGATATCAAAATAAAGTTTTGGCCCTCGATCACAAATATCTTCAGTGACACAGTTGAGAGCTGCTGTTCATCCTCTGGATGTAGATGTCGGTCCATTCAAAAACATTGAGGAGGAAACCAGACCTGTGTTCTGTGTTATCTGAGTGAGGTGGAAAATAAAGTTAATTTTCCATGAAGTAATTCAACAAAACCCAGAAATATTTTGATTGAAATGTTTGTGTTTCAGTTTTAAAACGTGTATCAGGGCTTTTTACTGAAGGACAACAGAGTTTTTGTATTTATATCAGAATAAAGTGTATTGTTGTTGCACAGAGTACAGGTACTGAGACAGTGAACAGCCATTGTAAAAGGATGTAA